TCTAAGCAATATTTCGCAGCCTCAACATCGTCGTTTCTCCGATAAACCTTCCAACCACATCTTAACCTTTCAATTAATTTCAACAGAAGTTTATGCTAATTAATGTATAAAGTAAATCTAAACGTGTTAAGAAATTTTCAAACCAATTTCCATTAAAAAGATAGTATTGCATTTATCCGAGAACACCCAACGCCAAACCTCTAACAAACTGATCACGGAGCACTAGCGATCAACTTCGTTGACCACTCCTCTTTCCTTACACACACTTCCCGCACTGCTGGGTGAGATACCTGGACGGTAAAATACACAAGCCCACGTGTAGGTCGGCACCGGATGTGATGTTTCAACGAGACGGGAACACTTCCATCCCACGGGATATAACATGAACTATATCACGGGACTGACGTCATCAGACCAGTTGTCGCTACAGGAATGAATGATCATCTCTTCTTTGTTGCAGAAATCCAACTCCAGAAGGAAGCGGCTCTGTTCAGTGGCCATTGTACTCCAACCAGAAGAAGAATTACTTGAACGTAGACGTGCAGTTAACTGTTCGCGAAAACTTGCTGGATGAGCGATTCGCTTTGTGGAGAAGTCTGGGTAGTGGGATACTACCCTCTACCGAAAAATAAACGCCGACGTTAGAAAGAGCGTCGATTTTACCGTTGATTTGGACATCCAAACAAATATGTAAAATGACAAATAGGTATTTGGGTAGTAAATAATAAAATTTTTACAGTCATTTAATACTAATGCTTATTGGCTAATTGGTTGTAGTTTGATATTGTAAATAGGTGGCATTGTAACCAAAACTCGTAACTATTACATGAAACTATTACTCTTTGGCCAAATTGACGTGTTGACAAAATATGCTTTCACAGGGGACATAACACCGATTAGTAAACATAGTGATCAATAAAGTAGGCGACGTGACATTGAAATCGGCGAACCCTTGCTTACTTCACAGTTGAGTACTACTTTCCCAATCTACGTGATGATTTTCATGACAGAACATTAAAGTTTTAATGTTTATTAAGTTTATTAAGTTATGTTTATTAAGTCAGATACTTGATGTCAAGTGGTCGTTTATCAACATATATTCTCTGAATATATAATTACATCGTTCACTTTAAACATTCATACTTCAATATCGAAAGGGATACCTATCAGTCAACTATTGCGCATGTCCTGGCCCTGAGCGTTTATTCGAGTACTTTTACTTTGCCGACCCGTCATTTTTGATAACGAAGTTGCTCACTTACAAAGCATTTTACAGAGCAACAAATTTTGTTCCTATCAAGAGAGTTTTCAATGAATATATAACTATGTAACTTCAAATTAACTTCTCCCCACAGTTTTAACAGTTTTTGACGTAAATAATTAGATGTACCAAATAGATAAAGTGCTAGTTATTTCTCAGCTTACACGTTCCGTATATTCATAATCACACTATATTACTACTGACATCCAAACTTATCACTAAGTATGCTTCGCTGTTCAAGTAAACAGATAATTTTGTATACAAAATAATTTTATTTATTCTTCTCGGAATAGTGGGAAAATTAATGAATTGTATGATTTGAATACACTGTGTTCAAATATGATAAAAAAATATATTTTAAACAAAATTATTTAACAATCCGCTGATATTTGCAAAATTTATACAGAACAAAAACTGATATTGTATACAAATTCATACTGACTAATCCTCACAAAAGGGGGAAAATCTTCAGCAGTTTTATTATTTTCAGCCTGATATTTGTTCAGAAACAAATGTAAACGATTAAAATGTTATGGATTGCGAATGTACAGTACATTTCTAGTTAGACGTATTAAAATAACAATACCGAAAATGAAAATGAAGATGATCGACACAAATGCATAGACTAATGTGATTGGATGTATTAAGTTGGATACGACGTTATTTCTTAGTTAATAGTCACAAACCTAATGAAGAGATATTTTTTTCTCTAACGAAGACGCCATCTCAAGTTACCTGCACTCTGTCCAGAACGACTCTTTGTCTACGATCAACCCGCCACTAATTATGTCTGCTGCAGTTGCAGATGAAAAATCTGTAAACATGATTTCCAATAGTCTACGGCCCCTCAGCCTCGAAAATAATTATACTTGTGACTCTGGCCATGAAAGACCCCATTTCTTTACTAATTACGTGCTTTGTGTAAATTTTGTATACAGTGCACATTGCACATTATGTGTGGATATGTTGATTTATGCAGTGACTAAAAATTAATATCGATGTAGTTGGCTACCTTGTTACACAACAAAACAGTTTGGTAATAACTAGTGAATGATTAGAAAATGTTTCATTCACTATTATTTTTGAAGTGGCTTTCTCTATTCGCCTTAGTTCTTCAAGCACGTAGAATATGTAGCAATGTCACTAACCTCTACGTCCTACTGTCAGGTACGTACTTATTATATTTTGAAGTTAAATTTGCGAGACTATATACATTCTAACTTAAAACTTAATGCACGTATACACATATATTATGTTGACCTTTCAACACTAATACGGCCAACTCTCTCAAAATGCTAGATGTTTGCCATCGTCATTATGAACATTATCATATCACTGCCAATTTTTACGTAGTAGCAATTCTCTTTCACGTCACGCAGCTTACAAGCTCGATATGTTAGCGCAGAACGCTTGGACTATCAGCTGCCAGCACAACTTCGATTAGCAAGAAAACTTTTAGGTTTTGTCATCATTAACCCTCGATTTTTAATGCACTTGCTGTTTTCTTCTTTGTTAAGGTTTGTACTTTCAATCCCAATTCGAGATCTTAGAACCAAATGCTTATCTCGCGTATTTAAGGCACAATGAGTAATATTGCATAATTCAGGTTGAATTATTTTCAAATGTTGTGTTAAACGATGCATTGAACTGAAGTTTTGAGTGATATTTCTCTTTTTACCTAGTTCTCACATTTGAGCATTTCCCCAACACTGAAATATTTTTATATTACATGTCTGAAGTGTTTGCACGATATAGACATTTTAAATAGAAAATCAAGATTGTGCAGAAAAGAAATCATTTCGTTGAATATTTTTTTTTTTTTCGTCAAAAAAATCTTCGATGGAGTATATATGCTTCTTAATTTACGATTGTATAAGTGTATAAATGCTTCTTAATTAACGATTGTATACCTGAAGGTCGTGATATCGCGACATAATGTAACGAAGCTTTGTTGTTCCCATACGAGTTCTTATTTAAGTGGTACAACGTGATAACAGCTACATGCAAAGTGGAAAACAGCTACTGACACTCCACAGAAGTTGCTCAAAGCTGCAACGTATATCTAATTTATAATCCGAAAACATTGCGTCTTCATTTGAAGGAGTTCTTAAGATATCTGAATATATTTCGTGGGCCTGTTCTACGGCAGGCATGGAAAAGTAAGCAGAGTAGTTAACTCCACATTGTCATACTATTTGTTGTTACTGATCATGACGTTTGGGCACGAGTTGTGTTTATGAATTTCAGTATCGTCGTTGCGCCTGTAAAAATTGTCATGAGAAGTGAGTTTAGTAAAGTAAAATGAACCTAAAGGAAAGCGCGTTTATTCAAACTTCATTGTTTGGAACACAAATTTTAAATAATATTATTCCTCAAAAAATAATAGAGAGATAATTCCGAATTCTTCCCGTGATATGTAATTCTAGAAGCAAATGTTTGAAAATATACAATTTACTTATTATTCCAGGAAGTATTTCATTCGCCGACGCATGATTGTTATTGAAAGATCACTCTAAACCCATGCACCAGCCAGTGATTAGCTGTTCAGCCATAACCCAACATTACGCGCTGACACGAGATAGCCTGTCAGTGTGAAGTTAGTTTGCCACATCACGAATCCATTGTAAAATAATATGAACCTGTAATATTTGCAGTTTTACTTCGTATGCTTAATGTCTCGTACGGAGAAAGCTATTTGTGATAAAACGTTGAATGTGCAACGCAGACAACGTTTATGAAAGAATGGGGGGGGGGTGTTGGGCTCTTTGTTGAAGCGAATGAGAGGCGACCTGGTAAGTTTTTTTATTGAAGTATAACACCCAAATTGAAGTGCGCGATAAGTGTAGGAGGCAATACGTAAACTAAAAATTGATTACTGAGTATGTGAAGAGAGCTCAAGAAAAGGCTGAATCACCTCAACTGCGTTCAACTCTTCCTACCTTTGTATTCAAAAGTCGATATTTTATTTGTGAAGAGGAGAAAACGCCAGACTCTACTTCCCCTCGCCCCACCTCAAAATAAAAAAAAAACTCCCTAAAAACGTGATCTAATGAACCCTATTAGCTTTTAGGGAACTGGTTTAAGAGACTTATCATAAGATTTCGCAAGAAATCATAATATTGATTTTGGGCGTTCTTAATGGACAGTACATGGAAGCACTGCGCCAGCCCCCAAGGATGACAGGAGCATGCATTATATACAGGCCTTGCAAAAATGAGATAATATCCGTCCACATGTTCTTGAACCCTAATTTCCTCAAATAGATAACTTTCTCATTACGGAAAACGATCTTTCTGCGAAAGCCATCCCCGAAAGATACACGATCTGACACAGAACCTAAGAGTTAAGAGATAGAGGAAATAGGTAGTATGATGTGAATGTGATTGTAAACGTTTGGTAGAACAAGACAACTTACATTTAAAAAAGAAGTTCTGATATAATTGGCATTTTAGGTAACTATTACAAATTAGAGTTTCTTTTGTCTTGCATTTTGAATCAACAGGATGCAAGTTTTGTGTTTTCAACAACCACAACACGTGAGGTCTTAAACAGCATTTATAACATTATTAGTAATAATTTACTAGTGATTACATTGGCATTTCATTCGGCATAAAAACATGCGTCATAGTTCCATTGCATTCAACTCCGTTTTCTGTTTATCAAAGGACATTCACTTCCGCCAGACCACAACCACATCCCATTGCTTCACAAGAGCAATTCTCTGCACGCTTCGCAGCGGTCGAGAGGTGGAAAAACCAGACGAGCAGGTGACAGGAATCGAATTCTAGCTTCCTCCAATGAGATCACGCCTTCTGCGCTAAGGGAACTACTGGCCTTAGGGGATTCCCGAGATCGTTCTGTACGCTCACGCATAAAAAGCCCGTCCGGACTACATTCACCTCAGTACAGTTTAACGTCCCATCTGTTATACTATCAGCGAAGACGTGTTCTTGTGAAAATATGTAAGTTGAAAGCACATTTATTATGTTTTAAGAGAAGGTGTTAAAAATTGTTCATGTGTTAATAATCACTAGGGAGGTGATTTGTATGCCCTAAAAATAAATAAAACCCATCACGGGCGTACACAAAAAGCGAGAAACAGTATTTATGAGAAATGTTAATCTAAGCCTTCTAACCGTGGCGTCACAAACATGGCCACCATCACCATGAGTAGGTGACATTGGTAGTATCGATAACTACCGATCCAGGAAAAATTAATATATTAATATCTCAAATCAATGTGAAAAATTAAGCACTTTTGTGTGTCTACAATAAAAATAGTTTAGTTAATTATTATGCTACACTTTTGTGTTCAAGGCAGTCCAATATTTGTAAAAAATTAAGACAAGAGAAAATGCTGGATTATTCTAGGTTAACTTACCGTGGGGGCTGGATGAGAAACTTCCCAATCGTACCTACCCTCTCCTTTCTGTCATCTTTTACATATAAGCTAAATCCATGATCTTAAGAAAAAGTGGATTGATCTATACAGTTCATAACAGAACACAATATTTCTGAAGCTTATGCAATGGGAATACCGCTGGCAGAAGTCCTGCTTTTACAAGTGTTTTCATCGTACTGTTCACATAAGTTACTGTAAAAGTAATTTATGCTACTCGCGGCCATCTACCTAACATGACTAACGTTGTTAAACTAACGCGCGTAGCGCGTCTGTCTAACGCATAATTGCCAACGGCATATCTATCAATTAATACGTCTTGTGTCTGCTGACCTCGTATATGAAATGTCGCTTGTATACGAATGTCAAAGCATGGTAATTTTCATTACCGACGACATTCAAAACTATGAACCGGTGGTTAATCCAGTTAATAACATCACAATTCAATGGCTATCATCAATACTGCCTGCAAGTCTTTTCCCCGTGAAACTATCCATACATTCAAATTAGATCATTGAATTGACAATTAACCTAAAATACACGGTAAATTAATGAGAAATATGAAATTACTTAAAGTTTTAATCAATATATAATTACAGATCTTTCTCTATAATTTAAAACAGCCATACATATAATTAAATCTGGCACATTTAGTAGTAAGATAGTGGCATGCAACGAAATCTCATCTTTCCGAAAATTGAGACTCATAAAATATACCATACTAGCCCTTAAATTATGTTTATAGTTTGTGTTATATATAGGACCAATCGAAATTTAATGTAATTTTATGAAAAACAATCTTCAATCATGAAAGACGTTATGTCGAACAAAAAATAAGGAAAACACATTAACTACTTATTATTAGCATAGCATGACAACCTTTGTTTTTACAGCACATCTTCATCGCCGGACAACACGCAGACACTAACAACTAATCGAATACTTGAAATTGTTTGCGTGACACAATTTGATGATCAAACGAAGGGTGTGCTTGGCAAGCGCAGAGTTCTCCGTAAAAGTTAAATTGAGATATTTTATAATATTGTTTGTAACAATTACAACTAATGTTTATTCAGGTCTCTGCATGATTCCTTCCAATTAGGCCCATAACTCGGTCGGTGGACAGCATTGACAAAGACGAGTTAGCCGGAGTAATATAGATATACGTTCCCTGCCGCTCTGTGTTCAGTTTATCGCAGTGAAGTTCTTTACTTCTCCAACATTGTATACATGTCTTTTACTGATTGCGATAGCCCTTGGAATACATTACAGATCCTTATCTGGATCCGAAGTCTAAACATATCTTGGAGTACTGAATCAGTGACGGATTCCTCCTTCGGATAATTGTCACTCGGGCAAACAAGTCCTCGCACGGCAAGCTTGCTCTGAGGGTTCGAGTTCTGATGTGTCTAAAACTCTGATTGGTCAATTAGGTTTGTAGGGTTCGGGATACGAGGTGGCGGCACATTTTATTTTAAATAATTAGTCTTCACTTGCCTGGGTTAGCTAAGTCCTCCTGTGCTGGAACCTACTGAATTCGATTACTGGCCGTCTGCTTTCTGCGTGGTTTTCTCGATTCAATACCTAGACCAACCTGGCTTTCATGTACCCGCGCAATGATATTCTTCCTCGTCATCTTTGTTCCCTTCTTTTCCTTACACGTTCACTAAGTCGGGAGGCGTAAGAGCTTCGCCTAGGCGGCGGTATAATGGCCGCGAGATTTACCTAGAAGACAAGCATTACAAAGTTGTAGGTCAATCGACTGCTAGCCCCTTCTCAGATGGGAGAACAATAGCCCTCTATATATCAATCATTCGGTATACTGATGACTCAGAAGTTAAAGCACCTGATATCAATTACTTTACTGCTCACCGTCGTTTTTGTTTCTATATTTCAGCTGCGGCTCAACCACCGTGTCGCTATGGCCGGGAAGGTGCAGTTCCGTCGTGCTATGGCTGCTTGTCACTGCTGCCCTCCGTCGGGCCCTTCGACCCAGCACAGGGTCGGCGATGGCTCTTGTGGTGCGGCGTGGCGGCAGGGCCTCGTATGCGGGGGCAAACGCGAAGCATGCGGCCCCATACGCGCCTTCGCCACACGTCTACGCCTTCGAGGGCGTCCCGTCCCTCGCCCGCCGCGTTGGAGAACTGCGCTTCAATAACTATTGATACTGGAAGA